AAACCTAAATGATTCATACTGATTTAATACTACAATTAATGACCACAAAACAAGACTACATTGTACCTCAAGTTATTAATTATATTATTATAATTACATTATATATAATTATTATATTAATTATATTATTAAACATATGGCTGGCCATTTAAAACAATTTGTTTTTCATTTAATTTGATTTTATTTAAATATGAAAAAAACTTGAGAAAATGTGTATATAATATGAAATTGCAAATTTTTACATTATGTCAGGAACTGCTATTCTATTACCTACCAATGAGTTATCAGATATCTACACTGTACAGAAGGGATAGTTGACTTGTTTAAAGGAGCAGATGTTTTAGGTAATATTAAAGGAATAGCTACATTTAAAAGTCAATCAGTTTTGCTGCTTTAATTGGACCTCATTTATTCTTACAAATAGGTAAGCTGCAAATATACTAAATAAGTGACTGGAGCATTTTTAAACCCTCTAGTCTATCTGGGACCTGTGTAGAGAAGTATTACAGAAAGTTGTCCACACAAAATCTAAGAAATACATGTTATCCTGATCAGGCACCTGCCATTGAAAGTTACCAGTAACGTTTTGCTGTATGATTCCTGTCATCTCTCACAAAGCTAATACAAAACAATGAATGCCTGCACCATGGCAAAGGCTTGTGCTGTGGTTGATGGTGCATTTGAAAAAGGACTATAGAATTTTAGGCAAAGTCAAAGAAGGCAAGTGCCTGTGGCTCCCAGCTTTACGTTAGGTATGTGTTTCTGTCTCCAAGTTAAACACCAGCTTCACTATACATTAGAGGCCAGTAGACAAGAGGCAAGAACACAGCACGTTTCAGCTTGGCTGAGAGTGACAGGGGAGGGAGGCGTCTGGCTTTCATGGTCATTGGAGTTAGTGCTCCCTCTTCTTCAGATCTAATCTCTATGTACAAAGGGCAGAAGTAACCAAGCTAAAGAAGCTGCAAGGTTTTATTGGAGGGTCATTCCTTGATGGCGTAGGTTCCAAACCTGACTTACTCTCCCTTCTGGGGTCTCTCTGAGGTTCTCAACGTCCTCTAAGAAAGCTGATGGTCAGGTGCAGTCGGTGTGGCTCTATCAAAATAGAGCTCACCCTTGTGAAATATTCATCTTCCTCGCTGCACTTTGGTTTCTTTCTTCTCTTCTTTGAGAAACAAGTAAAAATGTCACCTCTTTGGAGAGCCTCTCCCTGAACACACATATTTTTCCAGTGGAACTGAATTCCAAGCTCGGTCTCCACTGTTTCTATATATAACCTCTTTGGGAGTCAGAAATGATTTGTCATTATACACAGACCCAGCAATTAGTGGATTTAGTCTAAAGATCTACCCTGGTCTTTTGTTTCATCTTTCTTCCTTGATCTTTTCCTCCCCTGTCTACCTTACTAGTTTTCTGTCAAAATCTATTCTCAAAGAAAATATCCTTACTATGACACCTTCTTCTGTTAAAAACTTCATCTCTAATACTGTTATAAAACACGCCCACCCAAGTAAGAGGAACATATTCATTAAAAGTACAACGAGTATTTTAGAATTCCAACCCTTAGGGTTGGAAAGCAAACTTAGGGTTATGCTGACTTTACTTCTCGTTGTGCTACATAAAACATCCAGAGAAAATAGTTACAAAGTGATATCACTTTCTCTGTGATCTCTCCTGTCAGAGATCTCTCCTGCCAGAGATCTCCCCTATATGGTGTGGTGGGAACATTATAATTTTCCAATACTTTCTAATTCCACCTGTGAGGTATGAAGTTGGCTAGTGGCCATAGCAGAGAACAGTACTGCTCAAAAACACAAAAACAACACTCCAAACCCTGCCCCAAAACACAAAACAACAATACTCGAAACCCTGCCCAAATCCAAATCTAGAGCATAGTCTGGCATTCTGAGCAAAATTAAACATTAGATGCAGATAAGCAGTGTGCAAAGGTTGAAATCAGCACTGGAACCATACTATGGTTTATATGTGGGCCTTTTGAGAGCTAACAAGGATCATTGGGTATGTAATACTCATTAGTTAATTAGATCATTGATGAATTTATAGCTAAACTGGGAGTTTAAGCTTAGTCAAAAGAGGTGGGTCATGGTGGGTATGATGTGGAAGAGTTTATCTCCCTCCTTCTTTTGAAAGCTTTCTGCTTCCTGTTTCCTGCTTCCTATTTCCTGCTTCCTGTCTCCTGCTTCCTATTTCCTGCTTCCTGTTTCCTGCTTCCTATTTCATGCTTCCTGTTTCCTACATCCTTCTTCCTGCTTCCTGTTTCCTGCCTGCCATCCCATTAGCTGTTCATCCTCTGCCATAATTCTCCACCATGCCATCCTGCCTTGGCAACTATGGACTGTTTCCTGTGTACCTTAGATTAGTTTTCTATAAACTGAGCCAAAATAAACCTTTACTCTTTAAGTTATGGGTAACAGGTTTATGTCTCAGCCACAAGAAAGTAACATAGACCAGAGCAATAGTTACCTACAAAGAGATTTCAGTGACCCAGAATTTGAAATTTGTAATAAAATGCTATCAAAAAGTTGTAAGCAAAAATGTGAGATTATATTTTAAAATTTTGAATGTTATTAAAATCTGAAGCCAATAAAATTAAGACAGATTCCCCAAGGATAGCCTAAAATAAAATGTTAAAAAATCAATGTGGAAATCATTTAGTTTGTATCAATAAAACATTAGCCAATTTTTTGTACACACAAATATACAAATATCTGATATTACATCTTAACTATAATGACATTTGAATAATCCAAAACATTCCCATTTCTCTTAAAGTGAGGGCTTTACACAGAGCACCAAAAGACACACTTTGTGTTCAAATCAATAAAAGACTGCTCCAACATAAATTCTTTTCTATCACATATTATTTCTAAACCCTCCCATGAGACTTGTGTCATGGCTTAGAAAACAAACAACAGTACAACTGAAATTGAAAATGCATACTGCATTAACTTTAATTAAGCCATCAGAATTTATTTCAAGGCCACTTCACAGAGAAAGTTCTGTCTACTAGTCTGATTATTTTTTTGCTAAAAAAATGAGGAATCTTTTTCAAAAGAGTGCACAATGGGCAAAGGGCTCTGGAATGAGCTCTGTCACTTGTGAACCTAAACTGTCACATTCTCTCCTCCCCAACCCCTCCCATAAGAGCCTACTTCAAAGCTTGCTTCCTACCTCAGTACAGCCACAAGGCCACGATGACAGCAGCCTGCCGCAGGGGACTGCACACAGTAGGCACTAGTCATATGGTTTCTGCCACCAAATTATAGTAAACACTAGGAGTCACACAGCAGCAGTGATGCAATTTTAGAGATGTCATTCCAACCACAGCCATGCCGAGCTGTTGGATTCCAAGATGCTTGCCGTGAAATTGGTTGTCCTCTAAATGGTTTCATCTAAAAATGTAATTGCTTTGTTCTGGGTTCAGAAAGGCACGGGAGGGAAAGTATGATTTCCATCCCCTACTGTTCCTGCAGACTCCAACTGCCAGTACAAGGGCTGGTAAAACAATAAAGTTGTCTTCTTTTATCTCAATACCAGATAGATTTTCTCTCCTTGGCTTCCAGACAAAACTCACTTATTATAATTATCTTCTGAGCTGGCAGTGACCACTATCTAAATCTTTATAAATGTTCCAATGAAACCCATTGTGCCACCACTTACATCGAGGGGAGCAGGTGACTCACCTCCCACACCGCTGAGATGCAGCATGCACGTGCTACATAAACACGGGGAAGGCAGCCACGTGCAAAGTGGCATATTGCACAGCACACGTGAAACACCCTTTGGCGTATTGCATGCAGCCTAAATAAACATTAAAGACCTAAAGAAGGCGAAGTTTGCATTAGAAAACATAAGCACTGGGTTGTTAACGCTCCTAACTGCTATTTACAGTAGATAATTTAATTATTCTAATATATGATTAGCCATCTGAAATTCTTGCAAGCTTAAGTATTTATGCTAAGAACCCACTGACATCTATAGTGCTATCTGCAACAATTTTATTCAGCATTTCAAATAACATTTGTTCATTCATTCTTCCTAAATCTTTGTTTGCTTCTTCATTATTTTTTTAAAAACTTATTAGAGAAGTGAAATTTGAACAGGTGTGGTGGAGTGCACCTGTAATCCCAGCACTTGGGAGGCTGAAGCAGGAGGATCATTGCAAGTTCAAGACCAGCCTGGGCTACAGAGTGAGCTCAAGGCCAGACTGAACTGCACAGGGAGACCCTATCTAAAAAAAGACAAAAAAGAAAAAAGAAATTTAATCATTTTGCTTAGATTCTCTGAAAAATGTTATTTTCAACATGAAATTTTTAAGAGATCAATTAATTTTGGATTAAGGACAATATGGAATATCCCTGAACTCATTTATACACATAGTTTTTATTTACAGGCTGCTGAAAATGAGCAAAGTATATATTCCTCTTTCAAACTAGGTAGTTTCTCTGCTTATTAACTTCCTTATGGAATAAAACTACTAAAGTCAAAGCTTCAAACACTTCTGTCTTAGTTTAGGCTTTATACACAATAAAAGGTATGATTAAAAATATGGTGCACGTTTAAATGATAAAAATTCAGTACAGTGAGAAATACAGTGCCACCCATCCTCCTCAAGAAACTCCTTCGTGCTTCAAATAGTTATTCCAACATCTTTGTCACTTTCTGAAATTTGGAAGTTGTCTTTCTTGAGGATCATTAGTTACAATAGTAAGGCTACCCTGATGTCCTGAATCAACTCAAATGTTTACATTTCATGGTCATCTTGAATGTGGGAAACAACCAGGAGTTATGCCGTGCCAAAATTGGTCAATAAGGTGTATGAAGACTCACAAGAATGTTTGTATGCATCTGTCTTTCTGTTGGATGGTGCCTGGCAACAGCATTCTCCATACTTTCTATCACCCCTTTAAAGACACTCATGAAAAGGGACTTCCAGAAGTCCCTTCTTTGCAAAATGGTGGGATACATGTGTTCAAGATGGGAGAGGTTCCTTGAGGGGAGTTAATGGCAATGTGGCTTTTAATATAATAATTTTTAAAATTTATATACTCACCATACATTTTGATCAGATCTCATAATTTTATATTAGAAACAGGAAAACTTTGCAATACCACACTTAAATTGACTCCACAAACATCTTTTAATTTAATTTTAGTATGATGGTTTTCTAGATTCCAGATTAGGAAATTCAATCTCAAGTAGGTTAAGTGACTTGAGCGGTGTCTCACTCCATTTAATGGATGGTCTCAGATCTCTAGGATGGAGAAGAAGAGACAAGGCACGGGGGAGACCTGAGTTCCTGAGGGCAGAACCTCCACATCCTCGGTGCAAGTTACAATGGCAGTATCCAGACGTGTGTCAGCTGCGACACACTGCAGCACAATGATGCAGGATGGAAATGGCGGGGTCATAGCAGACATCAGAGTAAGCCAAGGCACATACCTGACCAGACCAGAATGCCTCAGAAGTCTCCAAGAAGCATAGAACAGCACTGGGATTTTCCCTGCTGGTGAAAGGTCACGGACATTGGCTGAGAAAGGTTTATGAGGAAACTCACAGAGCAGTGGACCTTGGCCTTGCAATCCTGAGATGCCATCGTAGGAGGCAAACAATGATTCATGTGACCAGGACTGCAGGGATGGCATAGATTTCAGTAGATGCTGCCACGGAGAACTGGCCACGTTGCAGGACCCAGTACGTTAGTGTTCATGGTAGAGATAACACATGCACTAATACCAGAACCAAATATTCTTTCCAGCGTGAAAAGTTCTGAATTGAAAAGCTAAAGCCAGTAATATAATAGACACAGTTTGATTATTGACTGGCATTGTGTCTGGGCTGGGAGAGTCTGTTTTGCTATAAGGTAAAAATAAAGTTATAAAATAAACAATGCTGCAGTTATAAATTAATAAAGTTGCAATAAGCATCTCTAAATATGTGAGCTAAGATTTTGTTGCTTCTACAAAGGGAAAACTAATGTCTTTTTTAAAAGAGAGCGGGCATTTTCTCATCAGAATTCCAAATTGAATGTATTCTATGTCAAACCCAAAAGATTAAAATTACTACTTCTTAAAGAAAAAACAGCCCATTGAGGTCATTTGCAAAGCACACAATTTCCACCTTCTTTGACCTAACTTGTAACCGCTCATTGTTTAAAGAAATAACTGGGTCCTTAACTGACTTTTCTGTGTGTAATAGACTTTAGCAATACCATCCTTTAGACTTTACAGTACAGAAGACTCTTCTTGTTCTGCAGACTTTGCCTGAATAACATCAGCGTTCCACCTCTGGGATGGAGACTTAGCCACCCCAACATCACAGCGTACCTCTCCCAGCCTTCCAAAATAATACGTTCAAAAAACCCATAAGTGAAGTTGGAGGTTTGGGGAAATATAACTCATCCACAGATAATAGAATGCGAAATATGACAGTGAAACATAAGTCACAGTTCTTTATTTTTGCCTGCCAAAGTGTAAACTTTATAGATATTTCTATCAAGAAAAAACAAAAAATCGGAGTCAACCCATGATTGCCATCTTGTGGAGTCGTTTGGCACTGCTGGGCCGGAACACTGTCCTCAGGTGTTTCAGTAAAGATCGCCTCAGGACACTCCTCAAGCAGCCCTCCGTGAACAGTTTAATCTCTCTCTGCCTGGCAGCTGACCAAGCCCTTGGGGTCCCTCCTGTAGGTGCCAGGGAGAGCAACTGCCTCTGCCTGAGATGGAATATTTTACACACTCCATCAGGTTACTAAAGCATGCCTAGGATTTTCAATTTCTAGGTTACAAAGTCCCACATTCTCTGAAATTTTCACTATATTCCTGTGTTTCATTTCTTGTTTCCAAACATCTTACAACTTGGTCTTCTTGTTTTGCTGTAGTTTGAGCAGGTGGTTCTAATCTGCTCTGCTGCCCGTCCATGTGTAATTTTTAAGATGTGTGGCTCATATTTGGGGAACAATGTAAGACTTCTGCTAACACTATGCTAACTCTGAGGGTTCCACACGGTTCCATTCTCCCCAAAGAAGCCCAGAGCCCTAGAGCAACCATAATGCCTGTCACCAACAAAACCAAATTATAATAATGAACACTCCAGAATTTCTCCTGTCATGTTCCACAACCCAGCACACACAGAGTAACAGCCATCAAATTCCCAAGCTAGCGGGCAGTTTTATAAACTTGTGTTTCCAGGGCATGAAAGCACAGGGGAAATGCTCTTTCTTACACACACATGCCTCACAATTGACCGTTGAGCACATAATGTCAACTGAGCTCTCAAAAATGGAGCACACATCACAACGTGATAGCACTGCCACACCCAGATCCGATTCCGCTCCTACATTGCTTCTTAGTTAGATTTCTACACGACCCTCTGCAGTCTGCTCTCAACAGAGAAGCCAGGATAATCTGGAAAAACACAAATCAGATCACATCACTTCCTCCCTGCCTTAACCTCTGCCACGGCTTCTGTCCTCAGAAAAAACGCCAAAACCTTTGCTGTGATTTAATACCCCTTTAGAAAATGGCTGCGCGCTCTCTCTGCCTCCTCGCCTGCACGCTGGCCCTAGATTATTTTGTCTGAGCCATCAAACTTACTTCTGTCTCAGGATTTTTGCACTTATTACTCACCCTGCATGGAATGTTCTCACCCAGTATCTTCACGACTTCCTTCCTCCCAGCATTCAGGTCATTTCTCAAAAATTACCTTACTGAGGCCCTTCCCTAGAAATCAAAAATAAAATATCATCCTAACTCCCATTTAATATCTTCCTATCTTGATACATTTTTAGTTCTTAGCATTCAAAACCTATTAACCAATACCTTGCCTCTCTAGTTTTCAAATGCTATTATAACACATCTTCAATTTAACAGAACACATGTATCATCTCACCATTTTGTTGAGCAGAAGTCCAGTGATCTTAGTTTTCTCATGAAGCTAAAGTCAAGGTGTAAACTGGCTCCTCTTTCTTTAGGAGACTGTCAAAAGAATCCACTTCACAATTCAAGTTGTTTCTGGCAGAATTTAAACCAAGGTGTTTGCAAACAGACTTGTCTCCTTTGTGTCAGCCAAGAATCAAAACTTTCTCACCTTCTAGATGCTGCTGCATTTTTTAGCCCCATCACCATTCCCTGGCATTCAAAAACAATCATGGGAAGTCCAGCCCTTAGCACACTCTGAGTCTTCTAGACTTTCCCTTCTTCAGCCTCATCTCTCTGGTCTTCCTCATCTACTCCAGCTAGAGAAAACTCTGTCAGGATTAGATTGAGCTCACCTGGAGAATCCAGGATAAGGCTCTTAAACTTAATTATAACGGCAAATCCCTTTGCAGCAGTACTTAATTAAAGTTTGATTGAATAACCAGGAGATGAGGATCCTGAAGAACTCTGGTAGTTTTCCATCATTCTAACAAAACACCTGAAAAAGTTAAGTAAAGAGGAGGCAAATTTTATTTTGCTTCACAGTTACAGAGGGTCCAGGCTTGATCAGTTGACTCCATTGTTTTGGGTCCTCTGGTGAGATGGACAAACATGCAGAATGGACCAGAAGTCCAACAGGCTCCTAGGGACACAGGCCTAGGGACACAACTTCTTCAACTAGGCCTGTGTGTGTCTTAAAGGTTCCTTTACTTCACAATAGCACCGTAGGCCTGCGACCTGAACTGTAATGCATGAAACTGTGGGGGTAGCCCAGATCCCAACTATGAGAGACAGTTTTTAAAATTCTGCCTCCCACGGTGTCAGATTACCAGAACAAACAGAATATAAATTCTGTAAGGGAAGAGGTGTTTCAATTGTGTGTAGTGCGACTTCTCTAGTATCTAAAAACAGTGCTTGAGACCAAGTCCACAGAAAGCTAATAACTATGGCATGAACACAGGTGCTCCAGGCTTCTTCATATGAAGAATGATGGCTTTGCAAAAGGACACGAAAGAAAACGAAGTATAAAAAGGGGTTGTGAAGAAGCGTGAATACTTGCTTCGATTTTCATCAAGTTCTTAAAATGAGTATACTTCTAGTTTGCTGTGGATAGTCTTTATTTATGTTTCTTCTCATCATAATTACTCATCCAATCCCCCTTGGCTCTCAAAGTATCCAGATTTGAAATAAATTACATTTTTATTCTAGATTCTTAAAGGTATCCATGGCCCAACAAAAGTTTAAATTCCTCTGAGATCTTTAGGTTCTTATGCAGGACTGTTTTTAAACAGGAATGGATGTATATGTTTTCCATAACCTTTCTTTTGAGAATACATTTTAGGGATTTGAATTAACTAAATTAAGACAAAGAAAATCTATAACTCAACTCTTTAACACTAACCAATTAACCATCTCACCAAAATAACCATGAGTGAGATTATAAGGGACGGCAGTGGGTATGCAAACAAATATGCGACCCTGAGAGCTTGGCTGCAGTACCTGACATGGGACCACGTGTTCCACGCGCTCCAAAAGATAGCACCTGTGTGCACCACACTTCGTTAAAAAGCTTGCTCTAAAGTATTCTTGGTCTAGTATAACCTGTGACCTACAGGCTCCTTGGCCTCTTTTTTAATCTTATGAATATCAAATAAAATGTACAGAAGGTTTCGTTACTAATATACGTTAACTATATTACAAACAGTGATTCCCAGTTTATGAACTTAGCTTGTTTCACCGCTTGGAGGGGAATGAGTCTGTGTGCGTGTGGGGAGGATGGATGTGGTCGTGTTTGTCACCTCATGTGCAGTTGGTAGATGGAAGTGAAATTTTGCTAAATGCTTCTTTTTATGAACCGAATTGCCTGCCAATAGAACTGTCTGTGTGTCCCAAGACAGTTCATTTTTTCTCAAGGAAACTCAGGCAAACCAAAATATTGTGCACACCTGGTTTAGAAGTTCATTGTAATGACAATACCATTATCAGTTTTTTAAGCCTTAGTTATGTAGAACTTAAAATCTAAAATATGTTATTATTAGAGTTTGAAACTGAACACACCAAATATTTCAGTTTTCTGAAGCCTTTCATTTCTGTCTAACACAGTTACACATTATGGAAGAAACTTCACTGGAGTAGCAGATGGGAGTTTCATTTTTATTATCTTGTGATAATTTTCTGCTTTTATAAACTTTTGGCACTTTATTCTCTTTCTTTAAACCAAAGAATTTTATTACGGCCTCACAGCCTGATCACCTCACGTGCAAATTTTAGGGCCAAACATGGCCCATGCTAAGAAGATTGGCTACCTGTCTACATGATTAAAGAGTTAAAAGACTTCAAGTGGCTTTATAAATCTGTCTCCTTACACTCGTCCTGGGGCGTGGGAGAGGCTTCATTTATAGACTGGATTTTTTTCTCTTCTATCAAATAGTTTTAAATCAGCCACTCAAAATGAGGAATTTATAAGTGTATTACATTTTATCTGTAAAATATACACCTGCTGAAATTACGAAGTCAATGTCAAGGAACCTGACTCAGCGACACTGTCACTGAGAAACCAGAATCAGAATGAAATAAACTTGCCCCCTCACCTCAAGCTCATGACGGCTGCATGATCCTATTTTCCACACTATTAGGGAAGAGGAAGGAAGTTAAACGGGAGAAGGGGAGACAGTGAGGTAGAGGAAGTGGACAGAACCACAGTATGTTTACGCGTGTATGAAAATGCCACAACACAACCCATGACTGCGTAATTAATAAGCACTAAAAGCCTCCTTCTGTTCTTAGTCCTGTTCCCCATCAGACATGGTCATTTTTACCAGGATGTCCCTGAGGACACCTTTTTGCTCTCCATGATCAGAATTAATCCAGGTGCTGCATAAAGAAACCCAATGAGCAATGCTCTGCTGACGTAGCCCTTGATGCCTGTGGTCAGTCAGTTCCTAGGTTTGAGAACGCAAACACTGGGCGAGGAGTAAGGTCCTCTGCAAAGTGTGACTCCCAAGAGGTGGTACTCTAAACGGGCTAAACTCACAGATGACCAATTCACAGTCTCACATTTAATGCTAGGCCTGGAGATCTCTGAAGGTGACCTGAAGCAGCTCTAAAACACAAAGGAACTGACAGAGAATAATTCAGGTTGTCATCTGTGCCCCAATACATCTTCTTCAAAAGCAACTACTGAAAGAATAATACCATCACAGGCAGAAGCAAAACGCTGTCAGGCTGGTAAACGGTGGGTGGTGAGTCTGCTGTAAGATGAATTGCTGGCCAGTGAGCTCATCAGGAATGCAGAAGCCAACCCCACGCTAACCAGTCTTACCCTTCTGCCTTTGCTGTATTTTATACTTACCTTGTTAGAAAAAATTGTAGTAATATAAACGTGAAAGAAAATCTGCTGCTTTAACCTTTCGAAGTGCACAGTTACGTGACATTAAAGATGTTCACACTGTTGTGTCACCACCATTAGCATCTTCTTGTCATGCAATATTAAAATTGCACCTATTAAACACTGCCTCCCTATGATACAGCCTATCTACATTCATATTTTAAAATTAACTTATGGAGGCTGGACAGGTAGCTAAGAAGTAGAGTACTTGGCTAGCATATAAAAGGCCCTGGGTTCAATCCCCAGCACCAAGACAAAGGGGGAGAAAACAGCAGTTAAATTAACTTCTTTACTAAGAGCCTATGTTACTTAAACTCAGCGGTTGGGGAGGAGATATGAAAGGCTCAAAAAATTAGACACCTTCCAAAATAAAATACGGGCAAGTAAAATGAATATCAAAAGCACACATGGCCAAGACGCACATGAAGAAATCCTCAACGTCGCTGGCCACTAGAGAAATGAAAATTAAAACACTGAGATTCCATCCTATGTCAGCAAGAATGGCTGTCATAAGAGGTCAAATAATAACTAATGCTGGCGAGGCTGCAGGGAAAAGGGACCTTCCACCTAGCCGGTAGGAACATAAACTAGTACACACACTATGGAAATCAGTATGGAGAGTCCTCAGAAAACTAAAGCTAGAAATTCTACTGGACCCAATTATTCCTTTTTCCAAATGAGTTAAAGACATCATAGTACAGTGCTACACGCATACCTGTGTTTATAGCAGCAGGATTCATAACAGCTAAGTCTCAGAGGCAGCCTCAAGTCCACAGCAGATGAGTAGATGGAAAGTGTGGTGCTGACACAGGATGCAGCGTGATTCTGCTCCACACCTGAAAGACAACTTAAACCATTTGGAGGAAAAGGGATGCGTCCTGAGACCGTAATGGTTAAGTGAAACAAATCAGACACATAAGCTTAAAGATCACACAGTTTCTCTTATCTGAGAAGTCCAAATTATAAAGATCAACAAATTATAAAGAACAAAAGTAAAGACTGATAACAGGAAATAGCAAGACAAATCTCAAATTGAAAGCAATAGAGATAAAGGAGGGAGGACAGTGAGAGGAAGAAAAGATGGAAAACAAGAAATTTAAAATGTTACACAAGCAACGTAAGCATTATGCACTTCAAACGTGTACCATTAAAAACTCTAGTCACTAAATCTTCTCTTTTTGAAAAAGCCTTTTAAAAATAAGTTGTTTACCATTATTTATTATCTAATCAACTAGAACTATTTTGTTTGCATATGACAGAATCCCAATGCAAGGTTTTAAGAAAACCTTTAAGAAAAAGAAAGAAACTCTGACAACTGTAAGAATTCATCTAACTACAGGAAGGACAGGAATATATCTGTGGCTTCAGGATAACAAGAAGAATCTAATGTCTTTAAGGCAATATCCAGAAGAAAGCCTGATATTGCCGTTCTCTGTCCCTCCTCATCTTACGTTTTTCCTCTAGTGCATCTTGAGCAGAAAACCCCATGTCACAATGTCTAGAGACACTGTTTGTCACAGCTAAGGAATGCTACAGGAATCTAGTGGGCAGCAGCTCTCAATGCTGCTGGGCATCCTACAATGTCCAGGACAACTCCTACAATGAAGAATTTTCCCCATTCATCAGCATACTGAAATCAGAAAACTGGTCTGCTCCGTATCTGTTGCTTTCATGTATTCAGTAACACAAAATCTTTCATTTCTAAGCATCTCATTGGATGGCCTCCCAATTAGAACAGGACTGAATTGTGCCGGTAATTTCCATATTTTAAAATTCTTCAGGAAACAATCAAGTTAGATATATCTGAGTCAACTACCAACAAAAGAGTCATGAATGCAGGGTAACAGGGACCTGGGTGACCGGTAGAGGGTGACCCTCTCTCCCCACTGATAGTAGACACTGAAAGGAGCCGG